AAAGAAGATGTTACCCTCAGCAAGTGCAACCAACACTCCGCCAGCACTGGCGAGGGAGGGGTGGGCAAAAGAATCCCTCGTTTGGCTTTGGCCTTGTGTTTCCACAATCGTTCGATGCGGCACAAAAAGATAGACAGACTTTGGTATTTGCATTTCGTTTGGTTTATTCCTCTCAGCGTGCACAGCCGCACTGCCAAAGCATATCAGCAGCACGCAGAGGAGCTGCACCGAAAAATAAAACAGATGGCGGCACATATTGAGCATGTGCCACTGCTCACTCATTCTCTCTCTCTGCCTGTGATGGATACGCTCAGGCTGCAACGATTGTGTGGTATATGTGTGTGTATTGCTGGTTATGTCTGCAGAGACCTCAAAGCGCACAGCGGCAAGTGGTGTTTGGTTTCTTTCCTTCCGTATGTGTATGTGTGGAAGAGAGAGAAAAGTGAGGTGGAAAAAAAAACGACGAGCACCGCCCGCACCCACAGTTGGCCATCACGCAAAGAACAGCGAGAGCCCACAACGAAGGCCGCACCGACAAACACTTAGGCCGCATGACCTCACACTCGCCCCCCACAAGAGACGCCAGCCGCAAAGAAGGCGGCGGTAGCAGCGACTGTTGTGCGCAGCCCCAAAAAAGCACCACCCGCATCCGCACGGAGAGTCCGCAGTGTGGGACGCCCCGCAGAAATCAAAAATAAAAATTAAAAAAAAATCATAGGCACCTCGCTTACCGTCTCCCCCACTCAGCCCCTTCAAACCCTGCCAGCAGCAACACGCAGTGCGCATCCCGGCGGGACCTCCCATCACGCCCCCCCACCACCTCCACAAAAACCCCAACGTCCCCACCTCCCTCAGCGCAGTGCAGCAGAAGTGGGGCGTGGCGTAACTAAAATAATTTAAAAAATAAAAATAAAAAAAGACGCATGCAGCCCCCTTTCTTGCTGCTTCGTTCGACTCACAAGCGAGGGCGACGCCAGCGCAGCCGTAGCCTCAGACTGCCCGGTCAGTGCGTGCAGCCCAAACAAGACGGAACAGGCACATGCGCCCAGGACGGCAACCCAACAAAAAGAGAGACGCCAACTGCGTTCGCTCGAGGCTCCCAGCGGTGCATGCGGCACCCCCCATTGGAGCACAGACGAACCAAAAACGATGGCACCCAAAAAAGTAAAAGAGAAAAGCACCACGCCAACGCACAAAAACAATTTCAGAAATTCGGTTTGCCCCTGACTTCTGGGCTGTGGTGGCCGCCGCATTTGCTTTCCCGCCTGTGAGCCCACTCAGCATGCAAAACTTACCCTCTCGCCCAAACTCTCTGCAGCAACAAACTGGGAACAGCGAGGAGATATCACCAATGGAATACTGCCGGCGTACACCCACAAGGTGCCATCATTCCCCACACAACCACAACAAAAAAAAAGGTGCTGCTGTGGTAGCGCTGGCCATAATAATCATTTGGCGCACGGCAGAGCGAGTCCCTAAGAACGCCTCCTACCCACACACAAACACACTTAGCAATATATCATACTCCCTAAAATATTTCACCAGTAAACTCAAGCTGTTTATTCCCCTTCTCCTTTTCCTTGTCCCTCTGGTTGTCGCCCACGTTCGGTTTGTCGTTCACTTCTGAAATTTTCAGCTGATACCGCTACCTCGCACTGACGCACCTGCTGATTCCAAAATGCCGCAATGGCCTGAGGGTCCTCACGCTCATTGCTGCCCGTTACATTTGCGTGCGCCACGACAACACATCCCTGCCACGCGTTTATTGCCGTACTGTCCTCATGATGCACGTAAATAATCCCCCACGGCAAGTCTTCCGCAAAAGTTTCCCAGTCATTAAAATAACTCCGTGGAAGATCGTTGAACCGCCTCACCGTGCTGGCTTGGGTGCCATGCTCAGCCCTCGTCGTCACCTGCACCGCAACCATCGTCCTCCGCGGTGCACCAACGAAGAAAAAACCGTCCACAAACGGAAAATGTCTGCTCTCCGGTACGTATAGCACCCCGCATTGTGCATCCAACATCGGAGGAGTGTGGCCCAGCGCTATTAATGCAACGGGTATGCTTGGATGCTTTTCGGGGTTCGATTGCTGCACACATCTCTGTCGCTGACGACGTCCTGGTGGAGGCAACTCGTTGAGGTCCGGCATTTTATTTTCCACAAAGACTCTACGCAGGAATGCGTTCGGAGTATACCGCTCCGAAGCGTCTGCCAATAATTCTTTTCTGCACTTCAATAGTCGAAAAATAATGCCATTCTCCTCATCCACCTCGAGCAACCCTCCAATTAGTTTGCTTCCAATGGAAAAACAGACCGGCAGGTTCACAAACGCCTCAAGACCGCGTTGTGTTTTTACTCTGACAGCTTTCACAAGTTTGTGAGGTGCGTCATTCGAGGGCCACTCTTCCACACCTCCAATCATCCCATAATGTACAGCATTTGAAGCGTCGATAGCTGCCAGGATGTTCTTGATTTCCTCCACGCGGTCCTTATACTCATTGAATTGAAAGATGCATCGTGGAATCGGTCCGACGTCATGCATGTGCATGTTCACCCTTCTCCAATACTCCGCCTGCTCCGTCCATGCTTTGAAGTTATCTTCGTGCGGGGACGACAACGTAATGATGCCCCACTCAGGGGAGGACACAACATCATTCGATGGTTCTTGAAGTTGTCTTGCCATATCGATGATGATATACCCCTTCATTCCACTCCCAGCCAAATTTATCATAGCTCTTCCAATATTATTCTCACCCGCGTATATTGTCACCGTTCGTGTCCTCTTGTCAAACAAGTATGCAAAATCCCTTCCAAAGCAGAACACAACCACATGGAGCTTCGTGGCGTCGTAGTGCAGCAGCTGATGAAGGAGGTAGGAGCCAGCCGCCATTGACTTCCCTATCCCGGGGGTTCCAACCAAAAGACGGCGTCTCATGTATGGTGCGTCTCTCTCTGTAGGGGGAAACACTCCTTTTAGATCGCCCTCGACGATCTTCCACACCCGATGCACCTCAATGTTAATGCAGCAGTAGGCAACAGGCACTGCATGGTTCAGCGAGTACGGCCATCACTTTTCAAAGGAAAGGATCATGTGTTTTGGGCATGGTGGACGGAATTGCCCCTCACCACCCACTGAGAAAAAAGTACGCACAGTCTGCGTGTACTCCCATCCATAATAACTCTTGTGGCCGTTGGCCCTCTATTACCTCCATGTCTTCCCCCTCGCCCTCGGGAAATCCCACGACGTGACTCCACGTTGCGTTCAGCACGTACTCGTAGAATCCCTCCGGTAATGGTCCTCTGAGGCGTATTTCGGTTTCCCGTGTTGCCCCTTCCTCCTACGCCAGTTGAAGAGCTGCCTTCAGTTTTGTCCGTGTAATAGCAGAGACAATACTCATTATCTGTAAATTCCTTCCAGTCTCGCAGCGTGCCCACCATGCGCTCCGTAAGCTTGCGTGCATCTTCAAAAAGCTGATACCCTGGTGGAATCGAGGATTTGCCCTCACGACGCCTCTGCTCTGTAACGTACCTGTCTGGCCCACGCACAAACACCTCCATTGACACATTTTGGTCTTCAGCCACCGCTCTGTCGGGGCCAATGTACTGCCGAAGGAAGTCGTTCAGCAAAATTATATTGATTTGGCCACCCCGCACATTACGGGCATCCTCGATGGAGCCTGCAAGCGTCCACCTTGGCCGCTGCGGCGCTCCTTCCACCCTTAGACGCTGTGCGGGGGCTCCTCGGCGGCGTGAAATTCCTCCTCGCGTCTCTCAGACATGTTTTCCTTCGTAGTGGTTAACTTGAGTTGAACTGCAGCACAATACTCAACCAGCAGTCAAAAGGGAGAATGAAATTATTAAAAAAAAACGGACAGAGACACGACCCCACGCAGCCGCAACAAAAACGAGAGAGAGAGGGCCACCCACACACGGCACGCGGCGCACACACACACACAAACACAAACACGCACAGGCACCCCCAATCCCGCACACAACGCAAGCGTGATGCATCACGGCACCCTCCCACACAAACAACGAAAGCAAATTAGATCTCCCTAGGCAAACCGTGCAAATTGCGCGGCACACGACAACTGCGACGAGGTGTCTCTCTTCTTCTCGTATTGCACTCGCCACTCGGATCCCCACAGCTCTGTGTGTGCATAGCCACACGTAGATATCACCCACTCACGGCAAAATTGACTGCCTCGTCGCGGTGGCATTTTGCGCTGCAATTCGCTGAGGTGCAAAGAGGCAGAACACACGCCGCCTGTTCCCCGTGAAAAGGAGAATTGACGCCACCGCATTGTCCCCCACGACGCAAATATACGCTGCGCCCAGCACGTGGCGCGGTGCACGTGAATTCCGCGAGGGAACTGTTTGCCACGCGACTGGGCCGCACGGGGCGCAGCCCGCGAAGGCAGCCGCAGACACCTCCGTTTCCTTCAGTCGTCGTAGCGACGGAACCCGCAGTTTCTCAGGGTGCCGGCACATTTGCCCCCGACGCAACCAACAAAAAGAGTGCGGCAGCATATTCCCCACTGCAAGAGAAGAAGCGGCAGCCCCACTCTGCTGCCACCGCACCACCCACTGAGATCCACACATTCTTCTGCATTTCTTTTTTAGGCCGCACGCCCCATGCCACGCCGTTGCAGTTGACGGTGCCGCGCCTCAAGACAACACCCCCACGAGCGGCGCCCTGCACCCGCAAAGAAAAGGTTGAATGACCCATAACGCACCTCCTCCCCCTTGTCTCTCTATTCCCTTCATCCCCACCGAAGGAAGCAGCAGCAGCCACAGGCGGCACTGCCAGCACCAACTACGAAAACACTCTCCACGCACACTGCAATATATCGAGTTTGTGTGTCTGCGTGCCTGCAGATACAAAAATTTTAAAAAAGGGAGAGCAAAGCGTGTGAGGACGCACATGCACACAGAAGAGACGCAGGACGCAAGGAGAAAAAAAGGAGATGACTAAAACACAAAATGGCACCGCAGCACGCGCAGTGGCAACACACAAGAAATATGGTTCAACAAAAAAAAACTCCTCAAGACGTTTGCATAAAAAAATAAAAAATGAAAAAAAAATCCTAAAAACGATTTCACAAAAACAAAAAAATACTCCTAAAGACGTTTGCACAAAACAAAAACAAAAGAAATTGTCGTGGAAGGCCCCCGGTGTCCAGACACCTTTTTACTCGCACAGGGGCCCGCAGTGCGTTGCTGTGGCTCTCACTCCCTTCCTCCTTCCTTCTCCCATCGGCGGACACACAATGCCGAGAGCGTCCGCAGACACCCAAGAAAAGCGGTTAGTTGTTTTTCCTCGTGTATTTTCGAAAGAATTCAGTGGCCTGCGCGTCAGCCAGCACAGTGGTACACGTCCGCCCCCCGCACAAACGAAGACGTAAGAGAGAGCCCCGGTCCTCCTGCGGCGACAGCAGTGCGGGGGCGCAGTGAAGCATCCCTCGCCGCCGGACAAACACGCAGACTCAACGC